AATATGTCATAAACGACTGGGACTAAATGTAAGAGTGTGTGTGTGGCCTCCAACCCAAACGTTCTTCTAAAAGACCCAAGTCCTCAGTGTTCAAGGCCCTCCTCAATGAAACACTCTTTCTCCCTATTTTTCTAGGTTAGTTTTTTACTGCTCAGCCCACTTGACTCAGCTCCACACCTCCCTCCAGTCACACAACTTTCTTGAACAGGACATGCATTTTCGCATCAAGGAATATGGCCCAAGGACTATCTTCAAATCCCAAGGCCAGCACACCAGAAGTGCAATGGCGAAAATACTGAGAAACTCAGACCGAGACTGTCTGAGCCAGAGAGAGCAGCAGGCTAACAAGGGTTAGGTCATGACCTCCAGCATGACAGCTACGTTTCCTCTACTCTTTGCCACCAGACTGCACGCTTAACTTCACCTAGTCCTCTTGCAAACTGGTTTTATCGATTAGAATGGTGACCATAGCAGGGACCACATGGAAACCTCTCTCTTAAGCAAACTGCAAGCCCCTGTCCCAATGACAGCTTGTAGGGAGCATCCATTCACTCACACTGAGAGGGAGACATTACTAGTTTTGAGGAGAACTAACCAATCAGAGTATTTAGCCTATTTGTTTAAGGATGGTTTTCCCCATCTAAGAAATAGAAAAAAGTACAGTGTTTCTGTGTTTAAAGCACATCAAGAATTAATGAACCTCATTCTCTTTCTCTTACCCAAGGCATATCCCTGTTTAAAACCACAAAGTGCTGACCCAGCCAGTGGTTCCAGAACCCAGGGCCTCAGCACAGCGTTTTAAAGACTCATCCTCATAATGAATTACTATTTTAGTTATAGTCCTGGTAACATATGGTGAATGGAAAACACTTTCTGTAGATTAAACAACATAGTTCCCATTAATGGTTTTCTATACTTGAGAACTGAAAGAGATTTTAACTAACTGTTGGTTTGGTGCAGTTTCTGCTGAATTATTTAAAACACCTCCTTCCTGCTTTAACCATGAATTTGCATTAGAAAGTACAATGCCAATTAAGATTCCTCCATTGCCTCAAATGCTCTAAAAATAAATACAAGCTAAATCCCAATCACAAATACATTTCTCTCTTCATACTCTGACCTTCTTGTTATCCTAAGCTTAGGCAAAATAAAGAAACGATACAAAAATTTGCAGAAAGAGATGGCGAAAGTTAGGAAATTAAGAAGATTAAAAAAAATTACCGTCTAACGGATGGCTCTTTGGACATGCTGGAGACACACGGAGTTCTATATGTAGGTGGAAAACTCAACGTTTACTAGTACAAGTTCTCCCAATTCCAGGATTACTTAATATAAAATATAAACATAAGTTATTACATGTATATAAAACCAGAAGTTGAAGATATTGGCTTAGCTAGCTGATTTGAATTTTATTTACTGTGATAAACAATCAAAAGTGAAAATCCAATACAATGCATAACTTTGGCTGGGCATGTTTTAGTTGCCTGTTTATTTTTGCAAAGCTGAGTGTTTCTCTTGCTCTTGGCAACCTCCCCCCCACCCCCAAGCCTTGTCTTATGGCTTTCTTCCCATGATATGAAGATTAGCTAGTGACTTTAAGTCTGCATCAGATAACTTTCTAACAGTAGACCCCAAATGTCTCATATTTTTCACACCACTTCTTTGACCTCTACAGGCCACTCTTCCCACCTGGCATGTCTGCTGCTCGCTGCCTCCTGTCCCTTCCACCCATTCAAAAACACTCTACGTAAGGAAGCTCTTCCACAAAAGAATTCTCAGCTAATCCCTCTAATTATAGCATTCTGATCACTCTATATCCTGGTACACATCCACTTTCCTAAAGAAGTTTGCAAATGTGATTTTGAGGTACTTCTGTGTTGCCACACATTTTCACTTGGGTACATCCTGGCTGACTAGTACAATGTCTTCTTCACAGAGCTCAATATAGGTTACTGCGGGACAAATGGAAGCTTAGTTTCAGTTTGAACCAGAGTGCCATCTACTGGTGTAAGCGTTAACAATACCATCAACATGATTACATTCAGCCCAGTGAACATACTCAATACGCATGATGCACGCCAGCTCTCATGGTTTGATTAAAAAATAAGGGATATAGGGGCGCCTGGATGGCGCAGTCGGTTAAGCGTCCGACTTCAGCTAGGTCACGATCTTGCGGTCCGTGAGTTCGAGCCCCGCGTCAGGCTCTGGGCTGATGGCTCAGAGCCTGGAGCCTGTTTCCGATTCTGTGTCTCCCTCTCTCTCTGCCCCTCCCCCGTTCATGCTCTGTCTCTGTCCCAAAAATAAATAAAAAAACGTTGAAAAAAAAATTAAAAAAAAAAAAAAAAGGATATATTGGGGCGCCTGGGTGGCTCAGTTGGTTAAGTTAATGACTCTTTTTTTTTTTACTGTTTATTCATTTTTGAGAGAGAGAGAGAGAGAGAGAGCGCGAACAGGGGAGGAACAGAGAGAGAGAGGGGGACACACAGAATCCAAAGCAGGCTCCAGGCTCTGAGTTGTCAGCACAGAGCCTGACACGGGGCTCGACCTCACGAACTGCGAGATCATGACCCAAGTCAAAGTCAGACGCCCAAAGTCAGATACTCCGTGAGTGACTCTTGATTTTACTCGGGTCATGATCTCCTGGTTCATGAGATTTAGCCCTGTGCCAGGCTCTGCACTGACAACGCGGGGTCTGCTTAGGATTCTCTACCTCTCTCTCTGCCCTTCCCCTGATCACACTGCGTGTTCTTTCTCTCTTCTCAAAATAAATAAATTAATTAAAAAAAGAAAGAAAGAATAATATCAAAGCAATACTTTGCTCCTACCCTTAGTAACATCTATGTTTTCCAAAGAGAAATGGCAATGGAATAAGATTCTCATTTTGATCCTCTAAATAATAAAACCATCATCTCAAAAAGATGGGTGTGAATTCTAGACTATGTCCTCTGGCTGTTTTGTAAACTATTTATTGAAAAAAATATCACATGAATTGAGGAACTGAAACGATATACAATACAATGTCAGGATGCCACTAAGGCCTATGGAAATGGCACTGTTTTACGAGGAAGACAAAGTTTTTGTTTTTGTGTTATTCCAAGAATTTAGCCCTTCCATAGGGCGAGCCATCCCTTCAGGATGATCACATCCTTGAGTCATAAACCTCTGAGTTGGCACAATTTCTCAGCACGAAATGGAAGGACTGTATAAAAAAGCAATATTAAAAATACTTAGTCCCTGTTTATCAGGCTAACATTGTCGTCTATTAAATAATTTCTTAAACCCTTTAATAATTCCATCTTTGTACTCAGTCTAAATCCCATCACACTGTGGGTAAATTTAAAATCGCACAAAGGTGGGTCTGTAAGTTAAGAGAAAACTTTTCTTTCCTTACACAGAGGCTGACTTAGGCAGCATGGGATCATTAGTGACCAAACAGATGCCCCCATCTATAACCCAGAGACAGTTCTCAGGTGTACAGAGAACCTTTCATTTCCTACGTAGAGGTGAACTCAAAACGTGTCACTGATTTTTGCACCCTCTTAATCTTCCTGTTTATTCTGTGCTTCATTAAAGTCAATCTCCACAGGGCAGACTGTCATCTGAGCTCGGCCTGTCCTGCTGTCTTCTCTCTCCAGAGAGCATCCTTCATCCTGATAAACGGGCTGTGAGCTGAGCACGTGACTGAGCTCCTTAAGGTAAATAGATTACAGAGAGCTGCTCCTTCCGCACCGGCTCAACAGAATTTGATAAGCAGGATCATTGACGTGGGCATCACAGTGGAGACAATGTTTTCTGAAAGATGGGGTTTCAGATTTACTGTTGTAAAATGAGATAGAGAAAATTTTTTTTTCATTGTGTCATACCATAGCTTTAAGGCTGCATGAGCTATTGTCATTCATCTGCCAAGTGTCTCCCTCAGGATTTAGCATCATTTATAGGATGTCTTCTGCATGCCAGGCTCTCTGCTAGGGACTAGAGACATAAATGTACACACAGGGAGGAGAAGTGGTAGCAGTGGTAGGAGATGTAGTGAGGCTCTGTGGGAAGCCATAAAGCGTGCCACCATCACAACACCGGCCCGTGAGCTCAGTTCAGTACCCCACATGTTGTGGCAAGGGTAAAGGTATGGACAGCTCAAAAGAAGTTGGAAGCCTCCATCCTGGATGACCAGGGCAAGATCTATGTGGAAAGTGCTACAGTGAAGCTCACTCCCTCTTAGCTGAGAAGAAGAAGGTCAAGGAGGCTTCCCACCCACCCCACACCTCACTTTTTCCAAGGTCTGGGTAGCAGAAATCCAAGATCCTCCTCAATAATGACTGCAGATCAGCGAGAAGCCTGGACAGCCACGCAGATGGTGTCCTGTTCTGCGAGGGACCGCTTCTAGCTCCTGCCTCGCGTCTAGATTATTCAGTGATAAAAGCAGTGGTGAAGAGCTCTGTGGGATGTGAGAGGGTGTCAAGGGCAAGGGCTGCAACATCTATGGGCTGCCAACCCATACAAAGCCACCATCGTCCGAGATTAATTCAACTAACTACTCTGTGTTAGCCCTTAAGTTCTCGCTGGACCACACAGGCCTCTCTCTCCTCTGAGCTCCTCTTGTAATTTACAGTTTGGCTTTTTCTTATATTCAGCCTCATAATATAATTATTCCTTGTATGTTGTGCGACCACAACAAGATTACATTTGTGTCTTCTTTGAAGAGAGAGATACACAGCAGACACGTAGCTGGCGTCTAATGCTTAATCTAAACTGGGAATCAGAAAATAAGAGCTTGTAGAAACTTCCCTCCTTTAACAGAATAGGAGGCAGATTTAGAGAATTGCTGCTTTATTCGTTCTACAAGTGTCTCATGAAACTTTCAAGTCACTGTGCTGGGCTCTGTGGAGGAGACAGAGATGGGTCCAGTTCCCATGCACCTGTCAGTGATGCATGAAAAAGAGGATGTGTGGCCTAATCACCACAAGTGGAATCCATAAGGAAGGTAAAAATGAGTCTGAGAGATGCCAGGTGAGGGAGGTAGTGGGTCACCTGAACTTGATGAAGGATTTGATGTGGGAATGGGGAAGGGTATAAAGTGTGAATGTATTTTGGCCTTCACCAAGCTTTTCGTCTCACTCAAAACCAGCCTACAGGAGTCAGCGGAGACAACTGTGATGGTGGTTACCATCCATGCTGGACCCCCTGACGGTTTGCTGAAAGGCACAGAATGTGACTGTCTCAGCTCCTTGCCCATGAAGCTCCTTGCCCATGAAGACGTCTGTCTCTTTTTTCTCTCATGTGTGTTTCACTCCCCCGCTCTCCCAAGTGCAGGGAAGATTGCAGTCCCACTTTAACCTTTAGCAGTTGGCTAGGCTTGGACCCTATCCTGTTCCAGCCCCAGAATGCTAGACCAAGGCACGTCTGTGGGCCCAGCTCCCCACCACCCACATGGGGAGCACACCGAGCATCCCACCTTGGGTCTGGCCCTGGTTATCATGGGGTTCAAAAGGTTTCCCTGGAGACAGAACAGAGTACTGCCCAACTCTCTGCCTCCAGGGTTTGCATTTCCCACGGAAGGAAGCCAGGCTATTTCTGGGAAAAGCTGGAGGAGGTTAAGCAAATTCAGACTGCATAGGAAAGAGTTTTCTGAGCCCTCTCTGCTACTCAGTCCCCTGCCCACCCCCCCTCCCCCACTCTTCTGTCCGGTGGCCCTTCACAGCCTTCCTCCCTGCACAGACATGTCCTTTGCCCAAGCCAGGACCTTATTGCTCATTTTTCCTGACCCTCCCTGGAACTTGGCTCTGCACACACACACACCCCCCCCCACTCCCCTGCATCCTGCCTCAAGGAGTAGCAGTTTCAGCCTCTTTCTTGCTTCTGTTCATGCAGCATCCTCCTCACCGGGCATCTCCTGTGGTAGAAGAAAGTACTTCACCCTCCACATCTGCTTGCTTCTTTTGTCTCTCTTTCCTCATTCCCTTTGCAATTAGGGGAAAGGAAAGAAGCATCGGGATGCCAGGACAGCAGCATGGGATGGGGGCAGCACAGAGATGCTGGATAATGCACCTCTCCTCTTAACATAAAAGCCTGCCCCCACAATTTCCTCTCCATTATTCCCTCTAGACCTGGGTCTTCAGCTTCCTGCCCTCACCTTAACTGGAAACTGGGTAAAAGCCATATCAAGAGGAGTTCTGAAAATGGCATGTGGATGAAAAGGGAGCCTCTTGGAGACTCTGGTGGCTGGTGAGGACCTCATGCCTTCTGATTTCTTAAACTTCTGTCTGGTGGCACAAAGAGTGGGTATGTCAGAAGACCCTCCAGGCCAGGGTTCCCAGGGTGTCTTCCCTTCTGGCCTTGAGGCTTCCTCTCCCTTAGGTATGACCAATTCTAATTCACTATTGCTTTAGAGTTGTGATATCATTTTCCCTTTAAAAAAATTGTTTTTAATTAATTTACTTATTTTGAAAGAGAGGCAGACAGACAGGAGGAATGAATGAGGGGCAGGGAGACAGGGGGAGACAGAATCCCAAGCAGGCTCCACCCTGCCAGCACATAGCCCAATGCGGGGCTTGGACTCACAAAACCTCAAGACCATGACCTGAGCCGCAACTGAGAGTCAGACTCTTAACCGACTGAGCCACCCAGGTGCCCTTAATCCTTTTCACTTTTTATTTTTTAAGTTCCTGTGTCCCAAAATTTAGTACAAGTAAACATTTATATACAGCAAAATATATGGTCCAGTTCTAATCCTTTGGTAGATGTGCGGTTTCACATTGTCTAATGTCACCCTATCTGAGATAGAGCAATAAATCAGGGCTGTGCCCAATTTGATTTCTCCCACCTTCCAGCTACTCCTCACTCTTACCATCTACTCATGGTTGATGAGGCCTTGGTCTTAACCACCCATCCATCAAGCAAGCACTGACGGTGCTGATGCTGCCAGACTGAGCTCACACTGTTGGCCCAGAACTTCCAAGTACTTTAAAACAATCTTTGCTTAGGACTTTTTGTAGATTTGGACTGAGTGTAAAGGCTAAAGGGGAGACCTTAGTGTCACAATAGGTGCCAGAGGCCTGATATTTGAGAGTGGAGGCTGCAAATTCTAGACCCCTGGCCTGATGTGACCGCCCAGAGATCTGAGAACCTGTAGTCACAGAACAGCCCCGCTCCGGCCAGTCTGAGAGGTAAGGAAGGTCATTGGACCAGGGTCCCACCTGAGCCTTCTCTACTTCCACTCTCAAGACCCTATTAGGGGTTGTTAAATGTCTTAGATAAGCTCATAGTTAAGATTCAGGAGATATTCACTGGCAAAAATGACATGAAATGCACAGCGAATAAGTACTTATTATTTTTCTCCTCAAAAGAGGCTTAACACCAGTAAAAACTGAAAATAGACACAAAATAGTTTTAATTTTGAATATTGTTTAATGGAAGCATTTGAGTGTGTGATAAAGAGTATTTTTCTCAGCCTACTAAGCAAATACTTCAGAATCTGTGAACCAAGGCTGACTGAGCCAAGGACGCTTTCTCTCCACATCTAAGCCTTGGCTCCCTCTAGTGTCCCTGCCTCTGCCTCTGTTTCAGCCCTAAAATGCCTGGAACCTACCATCTCTATCAAATGGGGATTCAAAGCCCAGTTCAACTAATTGTCTTCCTGTTACCCCTCCATGGTTACTGTTGATCACATACTTCTCCTTTCTCTATGAGCTCCATTGTTCTCTTAAAACTGACATTTTATTATATTCAGTTCATAAGATAGTTGTTTTATGTGTATTGTTTTCCCTGCCCCCCATCAGAATTGTCTTTTTAAAAATTTATTTATTTTAAATTCCAATATAGTTAACATATAGTGTTAGTATCAGGTGGACAGTATAATGAATGAACAATATTATACATTACCCAGTGTTCATCATGATAAGTATACTCATAACCCCTTCACCTCTCTCACCCATCCCTCTGCCCACCTCCCCTCTGGTAACCATCAATTCTCTGTATTTACGTGTTTATTTTTTTGTCTCTTTTTTTCCTTTGTTCATTTGCTCTGTTTCTTAAATTACACATATGAGAGAAATCATATAGTATTTGTCTTTCTTTGACTACCTTATTTCAGTTAGCATTATGCCTTCTCGATCCCTCCATGCTGTTTCAACTACAGTCGTGTCTTTGAAATGGGGAACATATAACATCAGACATGCAATAGGTGCCTAATACCTTAAATTTGGGAATCAGATTATTAGATTCAGTATGACAGCTATTACAGTTTCCCCCTTTCACAAAATGGGAAACACATCCAGAGAATAGCTGCATCATTCATTCTACATGTGCCTAAGCAAACTTTTAAGTCACTGTGCTGGGCACTGTGAAGGAGAAGGAGATGGCTAACAGATGGGCCTATCTCCCATGCACCTGTCAGTGAGGCATGAAAAACAACATGTGTCCCCATCACCAAAAGTGGAAACCATAAGGAGGGTAAAGATAAGTCTGAGAGATCTCAGGTGAGGAAGATTGTTTATCAGCTGAGGGACTCAGTAGTTTTGTGGAGAAGGTAGCACTTGAACCTGATCTTGAAGGATTTGATGTGTGGGAATAGGTGAAATGTATATTTCACATTCGGGGAAGGAAATTTGAAGAACTTCAGAAGCTAAGACTAGGAAGCCTTAGAGCCCTATTACAGCAAACCTTGAATACCAGCCAGGAAGCTTAACCCCAACTGGTAAGCAGGAAGCACTACTGAAGGAATAACTTGTAAAAAGTTCCAACTTCTTGAACATGTATTGAACTCCTTTTTAAAAAGTGAATTTTTCATCCTTGAGGGTGTTTAAGTACGCACTGGATGTGCTCTTACTTAGCCATCTATTTATGATTTATGGATAGATTCATAGAAAGGACTCATGCATGGACTGGGTAAGGACCTGCTAAGGTCCCTTCTAATTGAGATTACCCAGTTAGGATTTTTCAAACAGAAACTGGCACTATGTTACAGGAGACAAGTGTGTATTTCTTTTTGTACTTCATAGGTGCTCAATTAGTGCTACCTTAACCAATGAATGACATGAACATCAGAGTGCTTTAGGAAGAGGAATTTGGAGGTGAGATTTAAACTAGAATAGCAAGAAGAGAGAGACTGCATCCAGGGAGCCTGGATGGAACACCATGATCATTTTCAAGGCCTAGACTAGGTTAGTGGAAATGGGAATGGAAAGTGGATTAACAATGTGGATGCTGAATCAAGGTTACTATTTTGTTGTAATTATCTGTAACCCTCCTCAATAGACAGAAAATCTTGTGAAAGCAAGAAGTGTACCTCATTTGACTTGATATCCCCACTACCTAACAATGACTAACACATACAAGTGCTCAACATGTTTTAAATGAGTTTGTGGAGTAAATGTTGATTGGCTTAATGAGTAAGTAGTTGCAATGGTGTTAACTTGAGAGGAACTGCTGGACAAGGGGCAACTCGAGTCTCGGGATATGAACCCAGGACTTGAGTGGTCCTGGCCCTGGTGTGAAGGGAACTCAGGAGACAGCAGCTCCCTCTACTTCCTCACTCTGCAGTCTCTCTAATCTCTGCCAGGTAGGCCCTCATTCATACTCACAACCTTATCGTGATTAGGTCTTCTCCACCCTTCTTGCCCTTCTCTCCCATTTTCTTGTTTTACTTCTCATCAGGATTTGACACAGTTGACCATTTCACTCTTGGAATAGTCCCTTCACTTCCAAGACTTGATTTTCTTCCTATCTTGCTGACGGCTTCAGTTCATTCTAGTAATTCTGATTTATTTAACTTCCTATTCCCAATTTTTAAATCAATGGTTCTCAGCCTTAGCTGCATGTTAGAATCACAGGAAGCTTTTAAATCTCTTGATATTCAAGTTGCACCCCAGACCAATTAAATAAGAATCTTTGAGGGGTGGGTCCAGGTTCAATATTTATTTAAAGCTCTCCTGCTGATTCCAGTGTTGTAAACCACAGTTCCAAGTATTAGTGTTCCTTAGAGCTTAGTCCTAAATCTCTCCCCATCTTTGGCTCTACCCCTCAGCCCACGGGTTTCAAGTATCCTTATCATGTTGATCTAGACTTGTAGCCCCAGTTTCTCCTCTAAGCTATAAACTCATATATGTAACTGCCTATTCGAGATCTCCACTGAGATGCAGACATCTCAAATTTAACAGGTCCAACTGGAAATCTTGACTTTCCTTGCTTCCAAATCTGTCCCTTCTTAGTATCCCCCTCTTAGTTGATAGTATCATTTGTCCAGTTGTGCTGGCAAAGA